TATATATACCGACAACGAGATATAGGACAAGTCTTATGAAGGAAGTATTCGGCCCTAACCAGTAGTGTGCCTAAATAGTTGGAGACACGAAAATAAATCGACTGCTTTGGGTGCTACAAGAACCACTACAAATATATATTTATATAGACACGGAGTCTCCTCAAGTGGCTATTTTCAAAAACAATTTAAGTTAATGATCAAAAAACTTAGCTCCCAACATTCCCATTTTGATGTTTGCAGAAGAGAAAAAAAAAAGCAAAATCTAGGAGCTGAGACAACACTAACTATATCACAGAGGTATCATACGTACTCGTTGCCGCGATTACTATATTGATAACATTAAGGGCTTTATTTGACACAAGGGTAAAAGATGTCTCTTCACAAAAGGCACCAACAAACAATGTTTTGAAAGATTCTGCCGACGAGATAAATAGATTAGCCAATTGTTTGAATAAATGAATAGCAATTGAGATCTCTCTCATTTACTAAAATTTTCTCCATTTAGCATCTAAATACTTCTATTATTTAGCTACTCTCAGTAGCCAAAATGCATAATTAACCATAATCACGGGTCAGGTCCGCCTCAGCAGGTTTTCTTTAAAATTTTTATTTTTCTCTTTATGTTATCGTTAGGCTTACTTAGCAGTCGGCCTAAACGGCGGAACAACCGATACAATCAAAAATCGTGCAAAATTAGATTGCTTTATCGGTTATAAGCAGACAAGCTAACGCCCGTTACGTTTGGTTTCTTCTCTATTTGGATTCAACCACTCAACTCGTATCTAAGTTACATAATTCTACTTGAGCTAGATAGGCTTTGAAATTCAGAAACGCTTCTAGTGAGGCTCGTTTGACGACGTCATTAGCTGGACATTCAAGCTTGCTTCGAATCAGTTTACTTACATTCCACTGATAAGTTACTGAATATATTCTCGTTGGTTCTCACGCTTGAAGCTTCAAAATAGCCCCGCGCCACCAGATCGGCTTAGTTTAGGCCATTTTCGTCCGTTTTGCCTTCAAATATTCAAATTTCTTTTCGTAGCATAGCGTCCTAAAATTCGCATAGCTAGCAACTATCAACCTCTCCCGTTATTCTCTTATATGTTTTACCTTTTTGCCAATATTAGAGCAATCCAATATTAGTAGAGCTATACTATCAAGTGGCGCTAGGCAAATTTCGAAACGAATAGGGCTTGGCAGCCAACATGAGTCATCTAGAAAAAGAAATAAATCTAAAAGAGCTCCGAAAACACAATTCTATTCACGAACCGGAACGAAAACGATGTCCGTGGCCTTATGTGTTTTTGAGAAGATGTATACATAAGACATAATACGAAACGTGTTACATGTACAAGGTAAATAGGAAGCTCATTAAAACCTATATTGCGCTGTAGATTTATATATAAACTGCTCATAGCATAGAGACAAATCGACACAAACGCGACAATTTTATTATTATTTTGTGAAAATGGGAGCGGTTTTTGTTTGTCACTACACTGACTTCGCTGGCAGAGTAGAAACGACATACAAACGCAGCAAACAGATATCGTTGGTCTGCGCTTTCATGAAATTTCGGGCGCCAACGTAACTTACCCCATGTGAGACGTATACGTACACTGAGCTATCCTTCCGGGCAGCAGATGAACGAGCGCGATTCAGAAGAAGACAACAGCTAAGCGGATCATCTTCAAATACTTTAATAATACCACATATTAGACTATAAAAGCCAATTGAAAATAGTAACCAATTAGACTGTTGTCCGATAGACTAATGGTACGTACTGTGTTAGGGTACGAATTGTGTGTCACAGCGGGTCAAGGAGGTAGATTGAAAATAACAGCCAAACATATAAATGTCTGCATTCTTCGGCGCTTCCTATTTGTCTGGAAGCTGGCTGGCTGGCCAGTCTGTCTGGTCCGTCTATGAGTCACATACGTTTGCGTATAACAGTTATCGGCAGAGTGCGAACAGGACAATTGACAACTGCGTGACGTTTTTTTCGTCTGACGTATTTTCTAGCGCAAACGTCAGCTAATGTAGCAGGCATCAACGATTGCTTCGGCGTCCCTATTGAAATTTGTAGTGGTATGAGTAAACTAATCCTGTACAAATCTTTCTTTATTTTTTTTTTTTTTGTCTGACCAATGGCTTTCACGTTGTACAGGTGAAATCAGCAATTTTATACACGGTTAAACATTGACCATACGAAAGTACATCGCTGTAGTTACAAAAACGATTTAATCTATCATTTGAACCGCTATATGGACTAATATTAATGAGAAATCAATGCCATAAACACCATATTTTGGTCACAGACATATATATATATAATAAGGAACGGCTCATTTCACATCAGTTGACTACTTATGAGCAAAAAGTTCGCGTTTGACGACGGCTTGCGGAACCAGTCGTATAAGATAACGGATATCGAATAATTACATATAATTAGAAGAAGAACTAACAGAACAATTGAATTGATCGGCGACCAACCCAGTCGTAAAAGGACGCGAGAAGGGACCCGGGCTTCAACTCATAACAGTATGATCTTTGGGTACATAATCATATCCGCATAATTGTAGATCCTTCGATTATTATGTATCTCCGAAAGCCCTTTTATTTACCATAGAGAACCAAAT